ATCCCACATGCCACAACTAGAAGGACCCACAACTAAAAATATGTAACTATGTACCAGGGGTCTTTGGGGAGAAAAAGGAAAAGTAAAATCTTAAAAAAAAAGGATATGTGTTATGATGGCAAATATTAACGTTCAAAATGAGTCTGGCTTCATCCTAGGGATGAAGTATTGAATTCTGATGAAGCCTATCATTGGTTGTCAAACAGGAAGAGGTACCAAATTTAGAAGGCCTGATGACTGTACAGTTTTAAGCAACTGATTCCAGAAGTTCATTATTTCTTTGCTTGTGTGTTCAACCAACTTAGGGAAAGTCCTTCCCTCCTCTTTGTTGAACTCACAGATGATTTTATTTGTTTGACTGTGTCAAGGTTGAAGGCTGCTCAGTCATCAAGACTCCTGAAGACTCTTCTCGGAACATGTGGGAAGGATCTGGCGAACATAAGCCCCCTCCAGGACAGACCACAGCTCCAAAGCAGAGGCAACTTCGGGGGAGTAGACCCAAACCTGCTCTGACTAGCTGTTTCTTACAAAAATGGAAATCTGCTAATACAAAACTTTCCTGGACACGACTACCTGAGATTGTAAAGGTTAATTACGTGCCTCGTACTGAAGAACAATCAAAGTAGGTGAGGCGCTCAGCCTGCTAAACTGTATCACAACCACAGGTGAAAGTACAAGGTTGTCCACTGCATCATTATTGCAACACTGAAAAACCAGAAAGCAACCTAAATCCCTATCAATAAGAGACTAGTTAAGAGAATTACCATATGTCCTAACAATAAAATACTAGTAACCCATTCAACAGAATGAGGTGGTTATAATGTCCTGAAGTGGCACTATAACTAGGAGACATTTTTTTAAGTGAAAAGCTCATTGCTTTCTAAAAAGTATTTTATTCTGAAATATTTATAGACTCGTGAGAAATTGCGAAAATAGTAGAGTAAGTACAGTAAGTCCCATGTAGCCTTCACCTAGCTTCCTCCAATGGGACATTTAAAATATGTCTTAAAGAAAAACAAAGTAGGTTGCAAAATGGTATATATGGTAAGATCCTATTTGTGTAAGCATAAAAGTAAGTACATTGAATTGTCAGCACTGGATATCTCTGGGGAACAGGGAGGAGAAAAAAAGAGGAAGAGAGAAATTTACGGCTTTGAATACCTATATCAGAAAACAAGAAAATATGAGAGTCAGCAAGCCAAATATCTACCTCAGAAATTAGAAAAAGGTTGGCAAATTAGGCTCAAATAAAGCAGAAAGAAGGAAATAATAAATATGAGAGCAGAAATTAATGAGATAGGAAATATACACTACAAAGATCCAAAGTCAAAAGTTGTTTTATTTAAAAAAACTAATAAAATTAATAAACTCATTGGCGATACCAAGAAAAAACAAGAGTAGGCACAAATCACCAATGTCAGGAACGTTGGGAGCATCACTTGAACCTTACGGCCATTGAAGAAGTAATAAAAGAACATAAGTGAACAATTTTGTGCCAATAAACTAGAAAATGTAGATGAGACGAGCACCTTCTTACAGAAGAATACAACTTACAACAATTGACACAAAAGCAAAAATAGAAAATTCTGAATAATCCTATCAAGCCAGTTTTTTGTTTTCATTTCATTGCTTATTCTTCCAAAGAACAGGAAAAGAGGGAACACTCTTCAACTTACTTTGTGAAACAGAATAAACATTTTACCAAAACCTGACAAGGAGATGATAAGAAAGAAAAATCACAGGCAACCTCACTCATAAAAATAGATGCAAAAGTCCTGTGGCAGCCAGTCTCCAGGGTGGCCCTCGACGCTCTCTGCCTCCGGGAATCACACCTTGGTGGAGCCCCTTCACCCACTGGCCCATGTGACAAACAGCACAGAGCAGAAGAAGCTCCTTCTCACGTTGGTCTGGGTGATCAATATGCAAACAGCATATTGATTAGGTCTGAGATTAGGTAACAAAAGACATCGTGGCTTTCGTTTTGGTGGCACATTCTCTCTCAGATAATTAGCTCTGGGGGAGCCAGCTGCCATATTGTGAATTGCCCAGGGAGAGCCATGTGGAGAGGAACCAAAGTTTCCAGCCGACAGGCATATGAGTGAGCTAGGAAGTGGATCCCTGAGCTCCAGTCAAGGCTTCAACAGATCACAGCTACTTTTCCTTAAAATGCATTATATTAATGTCTGGCAGGTTTATGATTATTATTTTTAACTACTTAATTCATAAATATTTTTAGATTTTCTCAACTTTAATATCTAATATGGTCATAGGAATAGATGCAACCCACATAAACAAAAGCTCTTTGGGAGCTCAATAATTTCTAAGAGTGTAAAGGCTCCTGAGATCAGAAAGACTCAGAAATGCTGGTCTCAGTTCTAAGCAGTGGCTGCAGTTACAGGTAAGTTTTAATAATATATATGATCTTCAGATTAGCACGTTTTATTACTTATTCTTTAATAGAAATTATATTCTACACGGAAGTTAATCTGAAGAACTCACGTGGCTCAGCTAAATAGGTTCCTTTCAAGAGTCAGCTTGCAAACAGAGTAAGTTTATAACATTCAGAATTGTTCAAGCTGGCTTAGGGAGCCATTCGTGTCTCTAACCAGCGTGGTGTTACCCAGTCCTCCACCTAAGCAGTTGATGTGAGAGATGCACTAACAGCACAGAGATTTTAAAGACGGGGAAACCAAGCTTCAGTTACTTCAATTGTCATTAGGTACAACCACTGAGTTTTTTCATTAGTGTTTGAATTTTTAAATAGCAAAACAGCTATTTTTTAGCAAAATAGCAAACTGCCAAGTGTAATATTTTGTTTGGAATTTCAATTAATTAAATTAAATTTTAGTTTAACTTAAGTGTGAATTTTAACCTATACGTAAACTACTTTACCCAATTTGATTATCTTTTAAAATTTTAGTTTATTTTTATTTGTCTTAGAATGAAAGAAGCAATAAAATAATAACTATTTCTGAGTATTGCATGATTATTACTGAAAATAATTCTGTCCTAGGGAGAAGAGGAGTGTTAAAAATGATCAGCTGATGATGTCAAATAGGCTGTCACCACTTCTTCAAGAGGTCAGGACAGTTGTAATACTAGCACCTGGTACGATGCCTAGCACACAGCAGGAAATGTTAGAAAGAAAACATCCCACACAATCAAAAAGCATTGGCTTTAGCCTCAAATGGAGCTGAATTCCAATCTGCTCCTTCCAGTGTATTCCTTGGGCAACTTCCTTCCTCGATTTTCACAACTGTAGAGTGGACATAATTAGAGTACATTCTTTAGAGAGCACTGCTCAGAGCATTACCGGTACAATCGAGAACAGGACCTATACGTAATACACAAGTACTCCATAGTGTATGAAATGAAATGAAATTACCAACTAGCATTTACTGAGTTTATTGCATGGCACTATAACGATCATTTCCTGGATTGATAGGGTGCATTGGGGTGAACCATCTTATCTCAAAGGGACAAAATCAGAAATACCCATTTCGAAATCAAACATTTTTTAGTAAGAAAGGAAACTGAAAAGGCAAAGAAAAGTTTAAAAGAAGAAGGAAGACGGGTCTGGCCCGGTGGCCGAGTGGTTAAGTTCGCGTGCTCCACTGCAGGCTGCCCAGTGTTTCGTTGGTTTGAATCCTGGGCGCGGACATGGCACTGCTCATCAAACCACGCTGAGGCAGCGTCCCACATGCCACAACTAGAAGGACCCACAACGAAGAATATACAACTATGTACCGGGGGGCTTTGGGGAGAAAAAGGAAAAAAATAAAATCTTTAAAAAAAAAAAAAAAAGAAGGAAGAAACCTTAGTTCCCCCAAAGTCACACAGGCCAGCAGCCTTAAGATCTCAGAGATGTAAAGATGGTAAATGACATCCATGAAAACTCAGACCTTTTCTGCATGACTTCAGGTGTCCATACGCGAAGGAAAAGTCAAGTTTGCCGAGGACTTGCCGACTTTAAATTCTTTGGCACCAGTTTCAAGCCTGGTGCCACCCCTTGTTACTCATTAAGGAATGCGGGGTGGGGGTTGGGGAGGATGTTGGAGCTGGAACCTGCTGGAATGAAAGCCTCAGCCAGACCAAGGTGGACGCCAGGGCTGCCCTGCTTCCCCTAGCTACGCCACATCCTCTGTACAACGCACGCTTCATTTTAACGCTTACGAAATATCATCTCACGAACGTCTCCTTGCATTTTCACGAGGTGACTTCCTTGTCAATGTTTCTAATGATTGTTCTAGTTTTGAAAGATACAAAGAAAACAAACTTTGGCGATAAAAAGGCACAAAACGTATTTCTGATCCTTCCACGTAGTTTACAAAAATTAAATTAGACCTCCAAGTCTACTTTCCCCCTGTTAATTATTACGCTACCCCTTAGAGGCTCTTCGGTGTCCAGGACAACATAACCCACGCTCACTCTGCCTTGAGGTCGTGCGTCTGGATCCGAAAACCGACTTTCCAAAATCCCTGATCTTTTTCGGACGTTTCCTGAAGCTGCGGAAAGGACGCAGCCTCACCTCCCCCAGCTGCCCGAAGCCGGCGGCCCCCGCGCGGGGGACCCGCATCCCCAAGGCGCTCGGTCCTGGGCGCAGGAAAGAGGCCCCAGCCCAGGTCAGAACCTTCGGCTTCCAAGCCTCGCGCCCCGAACCCCGCACTCCAAAGACCTCATCCCACGCTCGAGGCCACCACACTACACATTCCTGGCCACGAGAGGCATCCTCCACGTCGAATTTTCCAACTGGAAATCCAGTGTTCCCCGGGGGCGCAGCGTTCAGAAACGAGCAGAGGCTCCCAACAGCGTCACCGTGCGCCGTCCCTTTCCCGCTGCCCCCACCTATGTGGCAGATGGGTTGAACTTAATTTAGAGACCACTTGCCCCCTCCCTGGGCCCTAACGTCCGCGACCCCGCCCCGGCTCCTGGGCGCTCTCCGACGGCGCGCCGGGCTGGCCAAGTTTGACTTCCCACTTCTCTGCTCCAGGGACACTCACCGGCACGAAGTCATCCTTAATCGCGCCGCCTCGCACAGACGGAGCTGGTCGAGCCGGGCAGCCACCCCCGCCGACTGCCAGCCCAGGCACCAACACCAGCAGGTTCTCTGCGAGCAAAGCAGGTGGTGAAGGTCGCCAAAGCTTGGGTCGGTCCCCGCCCACGTCACCGCCAATCCCCGCCCACCTCCTTGGTCTTTCACCGCGCCCAGCTTGGCGCCTTACCCATCCCAGAATCTTTTTTAAAAAAAATAATTTTATTTTTCCCCTTTTTCTCCCCAAAGCCCCCCGGTACATAGTTGTATATTTTTAGTTATGGGTCCTTCTAGCTGTGGCATGTGGGATGCCGCCTCAGCACGGCCTGACGAGCGGTGCCATGTCAGAGCCCAGGATCAGAACCGGAGAAACCCTGGGCCGCTAACGCAGAACATGCGAACTTAACAAGTCGGCCACCGGCCAGCCCCCCCATCCAAGCATCCTTGTCGTTGTTTGCGAATGACCGAATCTCACGGCGAACAAGACCCCCAACTAGTCCACGTCCTGGAGAGCTCGAGAAGATGACAATAATGGCCATTTATTCGTCACAACAGCCCTAAGTGCAGTTATTAGCCCCACTTTTAGGATGGGGAAACTGAGGCAAAGTGGGGTGATTGGGAAGTAGGTGGAGGAGCTGGGATTCCAAGCGCGTCTGGCTGACTCTGAAGCCCGGAGCAAAGCGAGCATTTTCTGTCCCTCTGACGCGGAGCCCCCAAGCCGGCCAGACTCCAGAGTGTCTGTGGTCCGAGGTGACAGGAGGGGGGCCTCTCTGCAGAGGACCGCGTGGATACAGCGTTTCAGCCAAACTTCCGAATGGCCAGGGACTGAGAGAGGCTGCACAGGAGCACGGTCTCGAGCCCCGCACCGCCTGGGAGCGCGCTTCTCTTCTTCCCTGCCCAGGTCGTTGTCACCAGGCTGCCGGAGCCGGTCCTCGCACCGCGCTTGTAACTCGGAGCGCGCCCGGCCCGAGGCCTGAAATCCGGCTCCCATGCGCTTCTCGTCCAGCCTCTGTCTGGGACCTCTTCTCCTTCCGCTCGGTGGGTAATTGGACTTCTCTCTCCACCTTAAAGAACAACGAAATGCCCACGCCCACCTCTAGTCTCCCTCCCAACGCAGCCCCTCGTCTCCTTCCAGGCGAAGCTGTGTCCGTGCGTCCACGAGCCTCACGGCTTTGCCAGCAGCTCACACTTGGGTTCGCCGCGTTCGGCCTCTGCCCCGCCGCCACCCTCTACTTCGCTCCACCCGAACTCTTCTGGCAAAAGAGGCAGGGAGGAAAGCTGAAGAGGTTGCATCCCTCTCACAGAGCTGTGCGGCCACTTAATGCCTCTGTGCCTGGAAGAGTCTGGTGAACCTCCGATGGAATGAGCATTTGCAGGACCGTTTGCATAAGCGGCGAGAGGCGCTGGGCACTGGCTCCCCGTGGCTCAGCTCGAGCGTGATTGTATTGTATTTGACTGTGACCCAACTTAGGTCGCGAACATGATTTTTTTTGAAGTGGACAAAACGGTGGCATGAAAATGCTTGCAAAATGCCCAGTGTTTCTATTGTATACAGTATGCAGTTAATTATATCCTGCTGTGTCCCCAAAAGGCTTTAAGGCAGAGAGACATAAAAAACAAGGTCGTGTAAATAAAAGAGAAAAATGACAATCTATCAAACCAAGTCTGTCGGTAAAGAGGGTAGAAAGAAATGTCAGAGAGGCTACAATCTTGTGCAGGGGAGTCCCAAATTCCTCCTGGAGCTTCTCAGTAGCCAGTGGAAAAAGGAAAGCCAGGTGGAGGGGCGATCTGAAGTAGCAGTTGCAGGTAAGTATTTTCTAGGAACAGCTGCAAAAGGGACGTTATCCTTTCCTGGACCAGACTAATCAGCAAAGGGCTGTGCTTACCATGTGACTCATTGTTTACAAAAGGCTTTCACATCCATTATCCTCCTTAATACAACCCTCCTCACAAAGTCATGAACCTCTTTGAAGTTGTGAAGACCCAGCCTAGGAGATTTCATGACGTGTTCAAACGTTTGTGGCCAGCGACACAGCCAGGACTTGGACCCAGGTGCTCTGTCTCTAAGGCCAGTGATGGCTCCCCTGTACCCCGTGCCTTGCCAGCTCTGTCGAAATGGGAAAGCTCTGCTTGTGCCTTGGAAGTGGGGAACGCGTTTAATTCAACCATAGCTTCTGCCACACAGAAGTGTTATGACCTGTGATTTCAGTTCAGGGTGAATTTTCTGTGATTTTGAGTGTGTCTGCCTGCTCTGAGGGTCATGGGCAGGAAGGGAAAGTTAGCTAAGTGAGGATCGAGTTTTTGAACTTGATCAGCTGGGAGCTCCAATGCCGGCTCCCTACAGCAGAGCCAGGCTGTGGTTCCTGGGGGTCTAGACCCAGAACCAAGCAGAGTGTTGGCTGCTGCCCTGAGGGGTAGGGAAGAAATGGCCCCTCAGCACTACCTGGAACCCTGATGGGTGGCCAGGCCTGTGACATCTCTCTCCAGGCACCATCTGGGGTCAGCCTGAGGGTGTCCTCTCCCAGTAGGTGACCTCAGGCTTTTCCACTGTGGCTGGTTACTGTTTTACACCAGGACAAGACCTCCACTTCTTCCTGGCTGTGGACCCATTTCTGGCTGTCAGTTTGACAAATCAGCAAGTTCTTTTTTTTTTTTTTCTTCAAAGATTGGCACCTGAGCTAACAACTGTTGTCAATCTTCTTTTTTTCCCCTGCTTTTTTCTCCCCAAATCCCCCCAGTACATAGTTGTATATATATATTTTAGTTGTGGATCCCTCTAGTTGTGGCATGTGGGATGCCGCCTCAACATGGCCTAATGAGCGGTGCCATGTCTGCGCCCAGGATGCGAACCCTGGGCCGCCGAAGCGGAGCACACGAACTTAACCACTCGACCATGGGGCCGGCCCCCAGCAAGTTCTTGAGTAACCTGAATTTCCTCTGAGCTTGGCCATTTCAGCGGCTCCCAGTGCCCCATACACCCATCTCTGGCACTGGTGTCGCTGGTCCAAAGGCCAAACTCTTTGTCTTTGACAATCGAGTTCTTGTCTACATGTCCCTTGTGAGAGAAGCTTTGAGTGGCCCACAAGGAACTCAGATGCATCCAGTGGATCCTGGTGCCACACCTGAACTTTCTGAATGAGGTTCTTGGGAGACTGATTAATCCGGCTTTGCATCCTGGTCCAATGAAAACAGTGCTTTTGGCCAAGAGGAGGGGAGCTCAAGGAAGAAGGAAGTCAAATGATTTCTGACACTCTACAAAGTGCTGGTGCCTAATAGCCACTTCTTCGCTCCAGGGGAATGAGACCATGACCTATTCATGTTTCCACTCCCAGAAGTTCACACGGGCCTGCTCAGAGTTGGCACTATTCATTGACTGACTGAATGAATGATTGCCTTGACTGGTTGGATTGTTTCCTCACTAGCCCTTCCTCTTCCCCAAATCCAGTCCTTGCCGATGCTCAATAAATGTATGTTGAAAGATAAAAGAAGACGGGGGACTAGCTGTTCGGAGACCCAAAGGAGTAGGGACAAAACACCCTAGTGTTGGTTTGTAAACTGGCCCCCAAACACGGAGGGCAAGGAGAGACTGAAGAAAGAGGCAGCCCAATACAGTTGAGTAGGTGTCAAGTTAATAAGCAAGGGAACTTATTTACGAGGCTTGTCTCGGGAGGCTGTGAGACAAGCAGATCTCCCCATCCACCCGCCAGGGTCTTAAAGGTTATATATAAGCCTTAACAGGGTTCAATCTCATGTACCATCCAGAGGGTCTCAACACTTTACTCTCTGAAGGCTACATCCTTGGAGCAGCTCCCACTGTGGGAACGATAGAAAGAGTATATATTCCAAAGACAGAGGGGCTGGTGAGGAGCCTCTGATTGCCCGGATCCAGCTTGTGGGTCAACTGGCAGTCTCGTCCTCTTGATTGCCTCCTCCAACACCTGGCTTGCCATAACCTCAAGGAAAAGGGAAGTGATGTAATTTGCTCAAGAATGAGAAGTAAGAGATGGATGTGCAGGGTTAGCCCTTAAGGGGGGAAGTCCTGAAGATGGTGCTAGGAGCTCAGTGAGCCCTGAAATGTGTTCCAACTCTCCCGTGCTAGCCACTCTCCCCCGAAAGACTTCTCCATGTCCCGTGCTTCTTTTGTCTGGCTTTTACTTTCAGTCTCTGGCTAAAAGTCGCTTCCTCAAAGGGGCCTTTTCCAGACCAGAGCAGACTCTTCTTTTGGTATCCTATAGCACCCGGTACTGTGTAGTCACAGTCTCGGTCAGAGTCTGTAGTTGTATATTAACGTGGGTGTGTGTTTGTTTGTTGCCTGTTTTCCACGTTCCCTGGAAAACAGTACCACTTCTGTTTTGCTCTCCATTGTATCCTTAGCATAGAGGCTGGCTCATAGATGATATTCAAGAAATATCTGCTGGAGAAAGGAATGGATGAATTTTATTATACCGTTTGACACTCAGAACACTCTCAGGCCCTCCGTGTTGCATTTGCCTCATTTTCACATGAAGAAAGTGAAACTCAGAGACTTGTGAGAGGACACCGAGGGATTGGAGCCAGGTCTGCTGGATCGAACTCCCTACACCTCCTGTGCTGCCTGAGTGTAGGGGGGTCCAGGTTAATGAGTATGGGAGAGATGCAGAGGAGACAGAGAGAAAGTCGGGAAGGACCAGGGCCAAGTCTGGAAGAGCGAAGCAAGGATGGAAGTTGAGGGTGCTGCCCTGCTGGCTTCAGCCTGACCCTGGTGGTCACGAAGTACATCATTTACATGGACCAAGGCAAAAGGAACACAGACTCGAGAGGATGAAGACTTCTTCTCAATTGTCTTCTAAGTCGTCTAGATAGCTTCAAGAGGCAGTATGGTGCACTGCTTAAAAGATAAACTCCAGAGCCTGGCTCTGCTCCTGCCTGTTGCCTCTGCGACCTTGGCTCCAGAAGGAAACCCAGGAATCAGATTCACACCCAACCCATGGCCTGGAACCAAGGCCAGCTGACCAGCAGTCTATAGCAGAGTGATTCGGCTGAGCCCGGACTAGATCCACTGAACCATAGTTGATTCTGTACCCAAGATCTTGAGAATAAATCCTTGTTGTATGCACTGTTGGGATGG